AATGTTTCTAAACTCTAAAAGAGCACAGCATGTCATGATTTCAGCTCCTTGCCCCCTCTGCTCTTTGCCACCTGCAAGTGCTCTTGGCCACGCCCACTTTCCCGCTCTGCATGGAGGAACAGCTGATCAGCTGCAGCAGGAAGTTTATCCTGCAGCGTGGGCTGCAGAAAGGTGCAGCAGGTGCTAAATAATTAAAAATAGATTATTTCAAATAAAAATTCCATGCCGATCGTGCAGTTCATCCATGAATCAGCCATTTGTGTGTCATGTCCACTCTTATTTTGAAAAACCGCGATAGAGCAAGTCTCTGAAAAATGAACCATGAAGTAGTGAGGGACTACTGTAATCTAAATAACAGCCCTTGTGTTGGTTTTGTGTTGCTCACTAATCTTTTAAAAGTTTTTTAAAAATGATTGTTAAGTTATTTTCTGTTGTTTCTAATGTGCAAACCAGCAAATCCTTCATTCGTCACAATTTAACCGTTTAAATATCATTTTGTTACTTAAAGCTTTCTAAAAACTGTTTAGGCTCGGGATGAAGAGAAGAACCGGAGGAACAACAAAGACACCACCAACCAGGTTCTGAAAGACCTGGAGGACCTGATGCCAAACAAATCCCTGGCTCCTCCACCAGAACCGGGTCGGTAATGCCCCAAACATCCATCCTAATTATTATCTCACAACAAACTACGCTCTCAGTATTGAGTTAAATAGTTAAATGATTAGTCAACAAAAATCTGTTTCTATTTTCCGGCCTGAACAGAAAAACCTCCAGAACCGGAGGCGAAGCCCACTAAGACCAAGGCCGGCTCGGCCGGAAAGGGCGTTAATCTCCAGAAGGACGTGGCTCTGGCTTCCTCCAACCCCGATGCTCGAGGGCCGGTGAGCCGGCCGCCGAGGCCGAGAGGACAAGGACCGATGCCGGGTCCAGGTCCTGGAGTGGGTCGAGGCCGCGGGAGGGGAGCTCCTCCCAGATAACACTGTGAGAAAAACACCGATCTCCGCAGCAGGAGGCGTGTAAAAAAACTCAGTAACTGTTTTATAATTGAACCCTAACGAGCTCATCTCAAAGAATCATAAACAATATGTGCAAAAACCTGCCTAAATGTTATTGATTAGTAATTACAACGACCCAGGAAGTGAAATATTCTGATGTTTTTTAAACATGTTGTTGGTCTCATGTGTAAATGTAATTATGTACATGCGTGTGCTGTGTCATAATAAAGTGCTAACATAGCATTTTCTTGAACCGCTGGGAAAGTTTTATGTTGAGTTGCCCTGTTAGCAAAATTTTCCCCTCATTCTCAAATCTGAAGTCTCTTCAACTGCAGGTAAGATACTTACTGTTCAGAAGTACCTCATCAAAATAAGTCAACTTTTTGAATTAACAATTAAAACAATAGATTTTTGTCCTATTTTGGTGCTTTCAGCTACTGTTTCGTTGGTTTTAGCTTTTAGCCAATGTGATGTTTATTTTAGCTCTTAGCTATTGTTTTGCTAATCTTATGAGCTATGGTTTAGTTTATTTCAGCTTTTAGCCCCAGTTTTGCTAAATGTTACTTAGCTATGATTTTGTTCATGTTAGTGTCAGGCTACTTTTTTTTTGCTACTTTGCTAATCTTAGCATTTAGCTACTATTTAATAAATCTCAGCTTTAAGTCCCAATTAGGCTAATTGCAATATTTAGCTGCAATTTTCTTCACATTAACTTATTGCCATAATTTAGCATATTTTTCATTTTGGCAAACATTTAGCTCATTTAAGCCTTTAGCTGCTGCTCAGTTTATCTCATCATTTAGCTACAGTTTTCCACATTTTAGCCTTTAAATAAGAGTTTATTCATATCATCAATTAATTTCTGTTTACTTTGTCTTTTAGCTATGGTTTTGATTATTTTATCTTTTTGCTGGCGTGTAGTTTAGTTCAGCCTTCAGCTGAATCAGAACTAAAGTTTAGCCTTTAGCTATGATTTAGCTTAGTGCTTTGCTCATTTTAGCTTTTAGACACTGTTTAGTTTATTTCATCTTTTAGCTACAGTTCAGAAAATTTTGACTTTTAGCTTTTATTTAACGGTAGATTATTTTAGGCTTTAGCCAATGTTTAGCACATTTTTCACTTTTAACTAATAATTTGCTAATTGTAGCTTTCAGCAACTGTTCATCTCAGATTTCAGCTACAGTTTTGCAAAGATTAGCCTTTAAATGTGTTTTTTCTCATATTGTTGTGTACTAATTGGCTTATTTTAGCTCTTCGGTTTATTTAATCTTTCAGCTACAGTTTTGCTAATGCAAGCTTGTAGAAAACAACAACGATAACTTTAGCTTTTAGCTACAGGTATGCTAATTCAAGCTTTTAGCTACTGTACTGTTCGATTTTGCTCATTTTAGCTGCTCTTTGTCTTGGTTAAACTTGAACAACTGAATTTCAGCTACTTTCAGCACTCAGAGCTCACAGTGCTTTTTAACAGAAAACTGTAACGTCTTTGTTTTTATTATTATTATTGAATAAACGGCCTTAAAGAAGATAAACATCTCATTTTGACTGGACACATCTGTGCGGTTTCCCTTTAGCATTAAAACCCGTCAGAGTAAAAATGTGGGCCTTCAGGTTCGGCTGCTAAAACAACCAGCTGACGGTTTGGGGCGTGTTCTGTGTTTCCTGCAGCCGAGCTGAGCTTAAAGCACCGTCTGCTCGGTTTGTCTAAAGGGCGAAACGATAAAATCGCCTGGGCAGATAGAGGCAGCTGAATGACTGATGTTCAGCAGGTGAAACTAGCTGATGATCCCAGGAGTGGGCGGAGCCTCTGAGGTGTGATTCAAACACTTTGCCTAAGTCCTGAGTGAAGACGGTCTTCTGTTGAACAGGTAAGATCTGTCGATTAAGTTTCTATCTTGTTTAGTTCATCATCGCCCGCCGCTATGAAAGGCAGGCAATAATGTAGTTACCTGTTTGTTAATGTGTCTGTTAGCAAAATATCTCATGGACCAGTAGATGGATTTTACTGAATCTCTCAGAAAGGAACCATTGAATGAATTACCATTTAGGGTCAATTCAAGATGGCTGCCACAGCAAACACTAGAAAGACTGTAAGTCTAAAAATTAATGTGGTAGTAGCTGAGAGTCATACCCAGCATGCACTCTGAGCGCTAACAGACCTCGTCAGATTTTATTTTAATCTTTGGAAATCTGAGAAAAGCTTTTCAAATTAAAACAGAAATAAATAAACCAGTTTTAGTTTGTAAAGACTTTCTCTCCTGCCTCTGTTTAAATGCACTTCCTGTTTTATTTTGTAAATCTCAGTTTTGTTTCCTGTCCTGGTTCCACACCTGGGCTGATCTGATTAGTTTGCAGCTCCTCACCTGTTCAGTTCAACTTTTTGCTCTGCTTCTCTTCTGAAGCTGTTTTATAATCCTCAGGTCGAGATGGCTTTTTTCAAGAAGTTCTTTAAAAACATCGTCCACGACCGAGACCCGAAGGATGACACCGTGACTGTGAGCACATTAATTTCACCCTTTCACTCAAAACTTAAAGAAAACCCAAACCTGCTCCAGTTCTGACTCCTCTGTTTGAAACGTTTGTGAAGGTGAAGGACAAACCAAAACCCAAATATTACGGAACCGTCACTCCGTATCCCAACTTCAGTGCCAGCAGTGATGCTTCGGTCCTTCAGAGCGCCATTGACAGTAAAAGTATGTCTCAAGAACCTTAAAAATGTTTGTTCAATATCTAAAGTTGTTTAAAAAAACGAGTTGTCTCCCACAGAAGTGGACGAGGGCGTGATCGTTGCCATCTTGGTGAAGAGGAGCAACGAGCAGAGGCAGATGATCAAGGCCGTCTACGAGTCGACCACCGGAAAGGTGAGAGATTTTTCACATTTATACGCAAATAAATATATTTAAAAATAATGAATGCAAAACAAACCTGCACGTCTGAGTTTTAAGAAAATGTGTGCCTGTTTGTTTTAGTTGTTTATAAAATGGAAAAGTGACAAAATGTTTGGTTGCAATATGAAACTTCACCACTAGGTGGCACAACATCCTACATGCTGCGACTTTAAAGAGGGAACAATAAAAATACATGATGTGAAGCCTGATTCATGATGTTTATGAATAAATAATTATTTCTCTATGTATTTTTTTAACTACTTCTCCATACTTTGTGCGGTTTTAGCTGTTCTTACACTTAAATTCTTTGGCTCATTCAAGCAACTGTTTGAGTTTTTTGTTTTAAAACTTTTATACTTTTTAAATATTTAACAAACATTTTCTTATAGAAATACAAAAAGATCGTCATTTCCTTTAAAGCATTCTCTAAAATTTGCTTTAGCACACCAGCTCTAATTTTCTTTTGCTACTTTTGGCTTTTCAACTAGCATTCTGCTACCTTTTTTAGCTCTTTTATAACGTTCTGCTACACTATGCTTTTCAACTAGCATTCTGCTACCTTTTTTAGCTCTTTTATAACGTTCTGCTACACTACGCTTTAAAATAGCATTCTGATGCTTTTAGCTTTTTAACTAATGTCCTCTCACATAAAAATGTTAATCTAAAGTTTTGCTTTTAGCTTTTAATTAGTGTTTTGCAGCGATAAGGTTTTAGCTAGCATTTTGATATTTTAAACAAACGTTTTGGATTTTGTTATCCTCTTTCTACTTTTACCTTTCCTTGATACTTTTAGCATTTAGCTAGCCTTTTAGCTACTTTAAACCAGGGTTCCTTTTGTTTCAACTCACTTTCAGCTTCTTCAGCAGAGACGTTCGCTCATATCCTGCTCCAGTTTCACATCTATTTCTAATCTTTGTATTTCCTCCTGAAAGGCAGATTTAGTTTGAACTAATATAAAAGTCTACACGTGAAAACTTTATTTTCACTTAAAGTCTTGATTACAAGTAAATATTTGTTTGCTGTGTTTTTCAGAACCTGGTTAAATCTCTGAAGTCGGCCCTCAGGTCCGATTTAGAGGACGTGGCTCTGGCTCTGCTCATGAAGCCAGCGTATTATGATGCTCACCTGCTCAGGAAAGCCACCAAGGTAAAGTCACACTGTACGCAGATGATACTTTGATGTACCGATAAATGTATTTCTACACTTCTTGGAGTGTTTTGTGTCAAGGCAGCATTCTCTAAAGAACAGAAAATGCTAAAATATATATATATTTTTTAATTAATAGATAATCCTACATCTTCCTCCCCTCAGGTGATGTGTGATGAAGTTCTTTTTCAAAATTAAACTGAATGTTGATCAAAGGACTGAGTTAAATACTTTTAAACACACGTGATCAGAACGTTGTTGGACATGTTTGTTGTTTTAAGTTAATTATTGCTTGTGGCCAATAAAGGTGGGTAATCATGTAATTGTGTTGGTCTGTTAGCAAAATATCTCAGGAACCATACGTCTACAACTGATTTAACTTTCGGAGTCAAATCAACTGAAGATGGCCGCCATGGCTAACTGATGTTAGCTCGCACAAAAATGTCCATCAGTTTTATAGATATTGAGCTAAACTTTGGTTTGGTAGTTGAGAGTTCTGTCCAGCCTGTTCCTTGGTCACTAACGGATCATGCAGAACGTGTTGATCTTTGGGAAACGAGGCACTTGGCAGCTTTCATTTCTTCAAGGATGCTAACTGTCAAACAGTTTTTAACCCTCCTGCTGCCCTTGGGCCAAAATGACCCACAGGGCCTGGGTTTGAAGGCGGTTTGACCCAGGGGCAGCACGAGGGCTTAAACCGTTCTTTTCAAACGGGCAGCTTCGTTCCAGTTAAGTCTTTAGAGCTTTATCGCTGCGATTCAATGAACAATGTTCCTTTTTGTGTTTGCTCTGACAGCGTCTGGGCACAGATGAAGAGGTTCTGGTGGAGGTTCTGGCAACACGATCGAACAACGAGATCGAAGAGATTAAAAAAGTCTTCAAAGAAGGTTTTCTGTGCTCTGTTTACATTTTCAGGCCTGAATTCATGACTTTTGTTTCTAAATGATGTAAAAGTCAATTTGCACTCCTGTCAGAGTACGCGGTGGAGCTGGAGCAGGTTATCAAGGATGAGACCAGTGGAGACTTCACCAAGGCCCTGCTGGCCCTGCTGAGTGCCAAGAAGAAGGAGTCCACTGAAGTGGACTCAGAGCTGGCCAAAAACGATGCAAAGGTAAAATCCATTTTCATTTAGTCTCCGTTAACGCCCAGAGCCCGAGGGGACCGGTTGTTGGAGGGAAACGTCCCGTTTTTATCTCTTCTAGGATTCTAGCGGTTCAAGTCCTGTGTCTCCTTGTTTCATGATTCATCAAACACTTTCAGTTAGTTGGAGGTCTGGACTGCAGACCTCAGCACCCGGACTCCGTGCTGGTGAAATGGATCCAGTATGAGAGTTGGCGTTTCCTTTCTCCAAAAGGTGTTGTCTGGATGGGAGCAGATGTCCTAAAACCTGTAATATAATTTTCTTTGATTGTGCCTTTCCAGCGCTGCTAATGCAACCCTATCCCATCAGTGAGGCAGGCTTCCAGATTATTTCCAAACAGTTTAAAATTCAGATACGTCTGCCCACAGAACAGGTCTCCACTTTGTCTCAGTCCATTTTAAACGATCTTCAGTTCCAGAGAAGACGCTGTGGTTCTGGACGATGGTCACATCCGGGTTCTTTTTTTGCCTGATAGAGCTTTAAGAAGTATTTGTGGATGTCACGGTGAACTTTTACAGTTAATCATGTGTGGAAGGGTTCCTGAGCCCAGCAGTGATGTCCAGAACAGAACCAGAACTGTTTGTAACGCAGTGGCTCCTGAGGACCCAAAAACCAATGTCTTCCCAATTTTTCCACTGAAGAACATTATTCTGAAATCATTCCAGTTTTTACAAACTGGTGAACCTCTGCCCATCTTTACTTCTAAACGACTCTTTGTCGATAATTAACCTGGTTAGTTATAAACTGTTCCTGCAGCTGGTTTGTTTGTACCACTTACTTTTACAGACTATTTTGTTGCTCTTGTTCCAGATTTTTAGAGTTGTTGCTTCAATCTAACTCAAAATTACCCAACTATATATTTATAAAAACACAATTTCTATTTCTAAACACTTTTTCTACGTTCCACTGTGAATAAAAAATGGGTTATTTTCCAGTGTTATATACTTTATGGGGGAATTCAAGAATTGTAAATATTTTTTCTGCTTCAACTGAGGGAACAGTAAGTTGTACTTGAATAAATATTTGTGCAAAAGTTTCTCAAGGTTATTAAAAAGCGCAGACGTGATCTTTGCACATGCACACCCACGGCAGCATCATCGTGGCAGAGAGATCATAGACAACAAACCAGTTTCCAAACCAACAAGTTACTTTAGTCCTTGTTTCAGTCTTGAATACGTTTAAAGTGTCTTCTTTTTGTTGGCAGGTTTTGTTTGAATCGGGGGAAAGTGCCAGCAAAGTCAACGTCTCCACCTTCATTGATATCCTGACCACACGGAGCGGGCCTCAGCTCTGTAAAAGTGAGTCGTTGAATCTTGAATCTCTCGTTTTGTCTGGTTTCACAGCGAGAACACGCCTGGAAAAACAGGTGGAACCGAACAGGTGAGCAGAACTCGCCCGTTCAGAGAAAAAACAAAACGCAAAGACCGGTTCGGTTTGTTCGTGGCGTTGATACACTCAAATACGTAGAAATGTGAGCAAGGAAATTAGTTTTTATACGCCTGAGGGGTCGGGTTGTGGTGCGAGCCGTCTGTCTGCTCTTAGTTGTGTTGTCTGCTGAACTTTTAAAGGAATTTCATGAAACTTGGCAGGAAGTGTTATCAGATCCAGCTCAGCGACGATAACCAATTAAACAAGTTGGATTAAAAAATAGACTAAAAGTCCCAGTTAAAGATCACAGCTACAAAAAGAGATCTGTGCAGAGCAACCGTTTGCTAACGCAGCTTTAAGTCAATAAATCCAGGTTGAAGCTGTGTCGGCGCTGTTTTTTGGTAAACGGTTCTTGTGCAGGGTGGGTGGGGTCATGCAGGATGCTGATGGCTCCATCCGTTCATCTGGCAGTGTAGACCTCCCGGACAGGTGGCAGACGGCACCTGATGGGCTTCTGTGCGGGGTTGTTAACTTTTTACGTGGGCTCTTTTCATCTTCTTCCTCTACCACTTATCTATGGCTGCTGAGGCAGTGGGTCCAGGAGAGAAACCCAGACCTTCCTCTCCCCAGAGAAACTCTCCAGCTCCTCCTGGGGGGCTTCAAGGTGTCCTCAGAGTAGAGGATACTCAATCCCTTCAGTGAGTTCTGGGTCTGTCCCGGGGTCTTTTCCCAGTGGGAGGTGCCTGGAAAACCTCCAAAGGGAGGCGTCCAAATCAGACGACCCTCAGGTGACGTCTTTCGATGTGAAGGAGCTGCAGCTCTACTCCTGTTAACCCCTGGACGATGGAGCTCCTCACCCTCTCTCTTAAGCCGAGCGCCCCCACCCCTCAAATGAAGCTAATTTCAGCCGCTTGCATCCACGATGCTCATTCTTTTGGTCCTGATCCAAACCTCACGACCACAGGTGAGAGTAGGAACGTAAACAGAGCAGTATAGGGTGCCGTTTATAAAGTTACAGTCAAAAATTAACATCCATATTTTGTTATATTTATTAGCCTTTCATAAGAAATTTTTTTTCAAAGTCATATTTTCACCATGCCATTCATACATTTATAAATGTCATAGTTCCAAACTAAATATTTAATTTACAAGCTAAATATTTAGTTTACAAACTACTTAACTTGCAAGTTAAATATTTATTAGTTAGCAAGCTAACTATTGTTGGCAAGCTAAATATTTAGTTGGCAAGCTAAATATTTAACTTGCAAGCTAAATATATAGTTGGCAAATTAAATATTTATTTTTGGAAATTAAATGTTTAGCTTTGAAAATAAATATTTAAGTTTGAGCTACATATTTAGTTGACAAATTAAATATTTAGTTTAAGAATTAAATGTTTAGCAAGGAAATTAAATGTTTAGTTTGGAAATTAAATATTTAGCTTGGACAATAAATATTTAATTTACACCAAAATAATTAGTTCAGATTGTAAATTAAAAATGTATCTTGCGCATAAACATTTAGATTGTAAACTAAATATTTAGTTTGGAACTGACATTTATAAATGTATGAATGACTTGGTGAAAATATGATTTTGAAAAAAAAAACTAGTTTTGTTTCTTATGAAAGGCTAAATAAACCAAAATGTTGCTGTTAATTTCTGACTGTGTAACTTTACAAACGGCGCCCCACAGAGCAGTAAATCCAGAGGTTTTCCTTTCGACTCAACTTTCTTCACCATGGATGACCAAAGCAACGCTCTCATTACTGAGGACGAGGTCACGACCATTGATTTATCTCTCGCTCCATCCCACCATCACTCAGGAACAGCGTTTTGCATATATTCGTAGTAAGATATACAAATGTGTCGATGCTTTGATACAAACTTCTCCTGAGTTGTCATGTCCAACACTTGTCTGAGTATGAACTCTTTAATGAAAACTATTGTCAGTAAGTAAGTTTTTGTCCCTTCGGGCCTCTGCCTCGTTGTAAATAATCATTTTTCTAAACATTTGTCTTTTTAGCCTTCCAGGTTTATGCCACCATGAGTGACAAAACGTTACCTAAAGCCCTGCAGATGGAGCTGAAGGGAGACATCGAGGACTGCCTCATCGGCATCGGTCGGTTGATTTATAATATTTCCTGACATTTACTGATTTCAGTGTAGTACAAGAGGCAAAATGAGTTACCCTCCTTTTTTAATTCAAACACTTTCTCTTAACAAAAAAACAACAATCAGAACAAAGTAGTTGCTTAAAACACCTTTTAACCTCACAGCTACCAAAACATTGAAGTATCGTGGGAATTTGCCCATTGGTTTTAATTTAGCTCCAGCTACGTGTTGTGGATGTGCAGATGAGCTCACGCTGAGGTGAAATGACCTCCAGCTGACAGGGTTCAGCTCGTTCACGTGTTGTAGATCGGGGAGCGTTTTGGACCTTCGGCTGTGATGTTTCAACCTGACGTGTGTTTGTGTCCCTCAGTGAAATGTGCCTGGAACACGCCGGCGTTCTTCGCTGAGAAGCTCCACCATGCCATGAAGGTGGGTTCATTCGTGTTCTCCTTGTGACGTTTCCACATTCGACACATTCCACATGGTCTCTGGTTCTGGTTTGGTTCTGGTCTGGTTTGGGGGTGTCCGCATACTTATGGGTCTCTTTATTTACCGTCACAAGAACAAAAGTCCAGCCTTTTCCATTTCTTGGGTTTTAGATCCCAACTTCTAAAGTTGATCAGCTCTAACCTCAAGAGAAGAAAAGTGTACAGTCGTTGTTTATTAAACATTAAACTAAATGTAAAAACTGAGTCTGGCAGCTTGGAGAACCTCCTTCAGCAGCAGGAGCTCTGGGTTTCTGGACCGGTCTCTGACGTGGCTGTGGAGGATTTTCAGCCCACTCTTTCCAACGTTGCTGGACTTCACTGAGGTCTCACCACAGTGTCTCAGCCATGCTGAAGTTCTGGACTCTGACTGGACTGTTGCAGCACCTTAGTTCTGTTCTTTCTGACCCGTTTTGTTGCTGTATTTGTATCAAGGTTCTGTTGGACCCAGTTTGGTCCAAGCTTCAGTTGCTGGACTCCATAACCCTTTGGTCTCCAGAGGAGTTCCTGGTCCACTCAAAGACTGACAGGAGCTCACACCATCAGCCTCCACCACCGTGCTGACGGCTGGGAGGAGCCGTTTGCTGCAGTGCATTCTGGGTAACCATCTGTCCTCTGGTCTGGTTCTGGTCCAGAAGTCTTGTGGTTCCTTCAGATGAAACCTTCCAAACCTGAGTTGTGATGCCATGTTGGTTTAGGAGAGGGAGGTCATGACCTTTGACCTGCTGACTGAATCTGAGATGGAGCTCAGTCCTGTCCATTGCACGGTCTGACCTTCAGGGTGAATTTACTGCCACTCCTGGAAAGATCAGCAGCTGTCTTAAATGTTTTTTCCATCTGTGAATTAAACTTTGCTCTGAAAGATGGACTCTAAATGACCTTTGACCTTTCCTAGATTGATGGGCAGCTACAGCTGCTTCTCTAAGGTCATTGCTGATGTCTTTCCATCTTGACGGTGATCCCACTGAAGATGATCCGTTAACCAGCAGCTCCAGGCTCATCCTGAACTTCTGAAATCCTGTAGAAGCAGCGCGTGTTTTTATTTTTATTAAATAATACGGTGGAAACTGTTTTGTGTCTAACATTAAGATGATGTGGTGTGATCCATTTCTGAGCAGAACTCTGCTCTGATCCAACAGGGTGTTGGAACCCAAGACAAGAAGCTGATCCGGGTGCTGGTGAGCCGCTCCGAGGTGGACCTGAAGAAGGTGGTGGACGAGTACAAGGCCATGTTTGGAAGAAGCCTGCAGGAGGACATAGTGGTAAAACAACCCCTCATTGTTGCCACAGTTTTCTTTAAGTAAACACAGTGAATAAATAAGTTATACTCCATACTGTATTTCAGCCGATGTCTTTCTGTGTTTAACAGGCGGACACGAAGGGACAGTATCAGAAAGTCCTGCTCGGGTTGTGTGGACCTCAGTGAAGCCCTGTTGTCATCACTTTCAAACTGATGTCAGCTTGTTTGGACAACCTGTTTCTCAGAGTTGTAATAAATCACTTGTTTCTCCTCAATGATATCTGAAAACTATTTGTCTTCTGTTTAAGAGGTTGAATGTTTTCATGGCTCTCGACTTGTAAAAGCTGCTAAACGCACATGATGAGGAAGATGACGAAGAGTAGTTCTGTTTTTAAGCTTTAGAAATAAGATTTCTCCAAAACGCTTCTAATAAATGGGCCTCTCTGTTGGCGCACGTTTAGAAATAATGTGTGGAGAAAAAAAAAAACTGTTGGAGTGGAAGTTGTGGATTTGACAAATATTTCTAATCATGCAAATAAAAAATAAAGTTTGACACCTATGAGTTGTTTTCTCCTTAAATTATTTATTTTAGTTGTTTCACTTTGGGAGTTTGGAAATATTTTAGTGTTTAAAAGTATTTTAATCCTGCAGTTTTTTTATGCTTTATTTGTTTTTTTAGCTTTTAACATTTTTAGTCCGTTTTTAGTCCACATTTTATTCTCTTTAGATATTTTATATTTTAGCACTTTGAGATTGTAAAATGTAAAGTGCAGTACAAATTGAATAAATTATTATTACAGAATTTTAAAAGAATCCTCAAAAAAATCAAATCAAATCCAAACATTCAGTTTTTTGCTGGATTTGACTTGACTAAGAATAGTAAAAAAAAATTAAAAGCCCAAATTATGACATTCATGTCCAAGATGAATGAATGGAAACTTCTGAGCATAGACATTAATACTATTATTATTATTATTATTATATATTATTAATACGTATTAATGTCTATGCTTCTGAGCACAACGTACTAATTTTACTGTTCTAATATGACTAAAGCAACATTTTTTTTGCATATTTTATATAAATGTAGTTTTTAAAATATAAAATATATTTTACATCATTAATTATTTAGAAGGGTAAATGAAAGTTGTTTATCCGGTTTACCTGTGGCGTCTCTTCCAGAGACAAATCTGTAGTGTATTGTTAGATTGGATCATCGCTGGGGACGGAGCGCACAAGAGACGACTCATGTTTGTTGTAGAATGGATCATCTATAGTGACAAAGAAAACCAACCAATCAAATTTAAGCATTCTGATCAGACCCACCAATCGCAGTCCAGCATCAGTCTGCGCAGGCGCAAAGCTCTCCGAAGCCTCGCGTGAACGTTAATGGGTTGACGTAGCCGGAAGTGTCGCGGCTTTTTAGACTGCTAGTTTTCCTCTTTCATTATTGGACTTTAATGTGTATTGTGGTCATTTTAGCGAAAAATATTCGTGTTTTTTGCTCTAACGAGGCGCCTAAATGGGTTTATTTGACACAGAGCGAACCCGGAGCACGTGACGCTGGTTGAAACCGTAAAATCTGAACGGAAGAATGAAGAGCAGACAGAAAGGCCTTGTTGTTTACTTCAGCGGTAAATTGACGAGGGGTTTGTATCAGTATTATAGTAACAGTGATGTAAAGCTTATTGGGATATAGATATTCTATTTTTGGTCGAGTTTTGGGAGTTTAAAGATGGAGGAGAAATACAGCAGCAACGTCCTGTCAGGCCAGCTGGGAATGGTCGAAGTACCTGACTCCAGGTAAACTCCAGGATTATGTCATCTATAATTTATTCCACTTAAACTCGTTTTTTAAATCAGTGACTCAGAGCTGGTTGTGTGTGGTTCAAATGTTAGTCTGACACAGCTTCCACTAACGGTTTGTTGAGAGATTTAATTGTTTTTATTTAACAAGAACTTAAAAACATGTGACAGTGTGCGTCCTTCATGTTGAGCAGCTTGTAAATGTAGAACCTCATTCAGCAGCAGGGACTCTGTTGGTTTCTGCTCAACTCTCTGAAGGTCCAACTGAAGCATCTCTGGACCATTTTGGCACTGTGGTTCTGTTCTTTTTGACCCGTTCTGTTGTAGATCAGCTGCTGGGTTCGGGATCATGGTCCTGTTGGACCCAGTTTGGTCTCAGATTCAGCTGTTGGTCTCCAGAACCCTTTGGCCTACAGAATAGTTCCTGGTCCACTCAGTGACTGACAGGAACCCAAACCATCAGCCCTCCACCACCGTGCTGACAGCTGGGACGAGGTGTTTGCTGCAGTGCATTCTGGGTAAACACCTCATCTTTGGTGCTGGTCCAGAAGTTTTTTGGTTCCTTCAGATGAAACTTTCCAAACCTGAGTCGTGCTGCCATGTTGTTATCAGAGATGAGGTCCTGACCTTTAACCTGCAGACTGAGGCCTGTAGAGTCTGAGGTGGAGCTCACTGCACAGTCTGACCTTCAGGGTGAATCTGCTGCCACTCCTGAGAAGATTATCAGATTAGACTCAAAGCCATAATCTATGTCAAAATATACTAATTTAAGGTTTTTATTTTATGCTTCTAACACAATTTCTACATCATTAAATAACTGGGGGTGAATTTAACTCAAACTCTTTGAGTTTTTTTTGTAAAAATTGTTAGAAAATGGCAAATATTCCTTGTTTACAATTCACTGGACAGTCACATGAATTCTCTCGTGAGACTTCAGGATATCTCTGCTCAGCTCTGACGCTCTCATCGCTGCAGTTCCTCCCAAAACGACTCGACTCTCGTCCTCGCAGCGTTCAGTCGCTGTTCCTTTTCAAAAGACCAAGAACTTGATCTCTTCCCTCTGATCATTTACCGACTGATCCCTGGCGAACTCATCAATGTTCGAATGTAAACGACTCATTAAACAACAATTTAAAATGAAAAACAGAAAATTAATATGGCTTTAAACGTTTTCCACTTGTGAGTAATCGTTCTCTGTAGAGCGATGGACTCTAAATAGTTTAGAAACGACCTTTGACCCTTCCAAGATGGACGGGCAGCAACAGCTGCTTCTCTTGGTTCATTGCTGATGCCTTTCCGTCTTGATGTTGGTGGCCCGTCTGAAGATCGTTAATCCGTTCACTTCGGACTTTATTTTTTATCCTAATCAAAATCACAAGAACAGACGCCGTTTTTCAGACACGATTTCTTCATTTAGTTTATTTATTTAAATTTCTGTTGCTCGAAGCTGTAAAGTCTAAGTAAATATTTCATTTCGTCTTGAAATGCACAGCCTTAAAACTGGAAAAGTGTTTTATTTTTGCTTGTTTATTAATATTTCTCTGTAAATGTGTTCACTTAGTGCTTCTACAGAGGAATGTTTGATGTTTTGTTGCCCGTCTGCAGGTTGACCCGCTACATCGTTCTGCTCGTCGTCTCAAAGCTCCTCAAGGCGTTGGGGATCTTTGAATCCTACGACATCCTCAAAGTCGTTCATATAGTCCAGTTCATCTTTATATTAAAGTTAGGGTGAGTTCTGCTGATCTTTGCCGCTCGGAGTTTTAAATCTGACTTGTTGTTTGGACACGTTCAGTTTTTTCCAACGGTTGATGTAAACGACAACGTGCTGATCAGTTTCTGGCTTTTCTTTTCAGGAGTGCTGTTTTTCTGCTTTTCTTTCAAAAACCGTTTTCATCTGGGAAAGTTATCTCTAAAGGACAGGTTTGTTGGGCTTTTTTTCAATCTTTTAATTTTCATTAGACATTTACAACGCTAAAAATAATCTCAAAATATTTTCTAGCTACTAATTCGTCTCTGAATTTGATTTAACTTCCTGTTTGATGTAAAGTTCAGACGTTTCGCTCAAACTCTTATTTAGTCAGTTCAGGGCTAAAGAGAAATATTATTTTAAATTAACATAAAGTGACAGTGATTTATTTTACGGAATAAACAAAGACAGAAATCGTAAACAAAACAACAACCCTGAAGTTAAACAGAGAAATAAATTACGTACAACAAACAAAAAAAAAGCAAAATAAATAAAGATATTGGAAGATTTACAGCTAAGAATTGAAATAAACTAATCAATTTATGCCACATTTAAAGAATCTTAGTCTAAAACTGTAATTTTTCTTATCTATTGGTTTTTGTCAGATTACGTACGTTACTGAGCCACGTTTTAATCTTCAGTCTTGTGGCGGTTGTTGTCGTCCACAGTCATGAAACGAAGACGTATAAAACGTCTGCTTCACTTTAATTCATTTACAGTGAACTGCTCTTCCTGTACATGTTGCGTCAGGTCATACTGGGTCATGTTTGATGATTTAATCTGCTGTCTAATCCTCTAATCTGCGTTTGTTTCTCTGCAGTGGATAAAGTTGGTGAAACATGCGGTCTGCAGCTGCATCGTCTCCCTCCTGGGGTTCTTCGGTCTGACCCTCTGTGGACCTTTGAGGTCTAAACAACTTTTCATGCCACTTAAACTCATTTTTCTGTCTTTACCTCGTCTGTTTGCTTTAATTAGTCGTTCTTTCCTGCACACCAGTTCACAGCAGAGACGCTGTCCCTTCACAGAGTTGTTGTTTTTAGTTTAGTTTAAATGTTTTTCTTGTTTTCAGGACGTTGTTGCTATTTGAGCACAGCGACGTGGTCGTCATCGCCCTCCTCGGTGTTCTGTTCACAAACTCTGGAGGAGGACCGGCCAAGGTACCACCGTTGTTTATTATTTACTGTTTGTTTACTACTTTTTGTGTATTATAGTTTGTTTATTATAGTTTATTACTGTTTATTATTATTATTATTATTGTTGTTGTTTTATTATTACTGAGACTAGTCTGTATAAATAAAGGTTGAATGAATGAGTGATATAGTTAATTATTGTTTATTACTGTTTGTTCATTATAGTTCATTACTTTATTTATTACTGTTTATTACTGTATGATTGTTTATTACTTTTTGTTTATAATAATTTATTACTGTTTGTTTTCATTCATCCATTCTCTTTACCCGCTTCTTCTTTTTTATTATTCTTTATTTTTGTCGATTACTATTTACTGTGGTTAGTTTTTTCCTGTATTTTAAATAGTTTTTTTTTTTTTTCCAGCATTGTTCCTTTTTTTTAGTTTTCATTTTTCCACATCAGAATTCTTTGAAGCAGATTTTTTTTTTTAATTTAAGTTTTATTTGAGTAGAACTTTACCGTCTTCAAATAATTAGTTACAAACAATTCCCATTTTCTTGTTTATCAGTGAGGCTGTGAAGGACAAACGATAATGTAACTGCCTTTGTCTGTTAGCAAAATATCTTATGAGCCGCTGGACGTATTTGAATGAAACTGACGGTAAACCAGAAACAAGATGGCCGCCGTTACAACGTTGGAAAACACCAAAGTTTTCAACTCAGGTTTCTGGATATTGAGTTAGAATTTGTGGTGGTAGCTGAGAGTCATCCCTAACTCGACTCTGCTGCTACCACACCTGGTTTCAGTCAGATTCACAGATATTAGGCATTATTTATTATTATTATTATTATTATTATTAGGTCAGCTGACTGTGGCGGCCATCTTGAATGATGTTACTGTGAATGTTCATTAAAATCCATCCTGTAGTTCATGATATTTTGCTAACAGACATAAAAGGCAAAAACTTTCTTCTTTTGGCGGTGAGCAGAGAATCAACAACAAACAGTAAAATACAAGAAATTTATTGTTTTCTGCTCTTTTATTTAAATTAATACCATCAATAAATGATAATTAAACGTCAGATAAATAAATATTGTTTTTCAGACCCGAGGAGCAGCGTTCTTCATCATCGCTGTCATCTGCCTCCTGCTCTTCGACAACGACGACCTGATGGTGAAGATGGGGGACCACCACCGTATCCTTTCACCTACATCAGCCGTTGTTCTGGTTCTGAACCGTTTGGGCCTTGACTCGTCTCGTACCCAGCTGAGGGGCATCACGACAGCGCGCTCACTCACTTCCTCTACACGACCATCTCTCTTCTCGGAGTCGCCGACCACAAAGTGAGTGTTTTTTCTTCTGCTTTGTGAGGACTTGGTGTTTTTACTCCTCGTGTCCAACCTTCTCAGGGCGGGGTGGTGCTGCTGGTGGCCTCTCTGTGCCTGAAGGTGGCCTTCCACACGGCCTCCAGGAAGCTATCCGTGGAGATCGGCGGCGCCAAACGGCTCTACGCCCTCGACAACCTGCTCTGTGCCGCGGTGCTGCTGCCCTGGGTCGTTGTGCTGTCGGCAACCACGGAGGTAAAGACAGCCGGCACGAGCACGACTTAACGGCTCATAACCTTTGTGCTGGTCCACGAGTCGCGCTGCGGAACGACCTGTGCTCATTTAACCAACACGGGTCATCTCTAACACAATTTTACAAAATGTTACAGAAACTTTTTTATTTTCAGCTCTAATTCAGCGCACGGTTTAAGAGCAACCCTGAAATTAACTTTTATTCTTTTGCCTGTTAGTCAGAGTTATTAAAAATAAATGAAAAACTTAAGATTCCCTGAAGGAATGAACAAATTCCCCCCTGGGATTAATAAAGGTCTCTATATCTGTCTGTCCCTATTTATCTCTATCTTTCCATCCAGATTATGAGGTCGTGTTCCGTGCTTTAGAACGGCGGCGTTCTCATGTGGGCGGGGCCTTAGACTAAAACCTTAACCTGAAAACAACAAAGTCCATGCTCAATAAACCTGAAAAGTTGTTAGTTTGATCGTAGCTGTTCGGTCTTCGTGTTGGAGGTGATCCTCAGCTACTACCACGACTTATTTCAGCTGTAAAACAAACTGAGTTGTTGACACGTTTGTGTTTGCCAAGGTCGGTTTGCTGTGGCAGCCATCTTGAATTGGGTTGACCCTAAACATTAATCCGCTGTAGGTTCAATCATTTACTTTATAAGAGTTCTACAGTGGTTCATGAGATATTTTGCTAACACAAACATACAAACGATCGAACGTCTCCTTTTCGTTTGAAACCCTCCTGCTGCCCTCAGGTCAAAATGACCCATCATTTGACCTGAGGGCAGCAGGAGGAAGTGGAGATGTTCGAGGAAAAAACTTATTTTGGTAATGTATGAAAAGTTGACTAAAGCAAAAAAATGTTTTTTTTTGGAATTAATCTGTTTATTTTATTGCAAAATTGTTTATTTTTGAAGATTACATATATTTTTTATAATTCCTTTAATGAGCTACGAACAAATTCTGAATGATTTGTTTAAAATCAGAGTTTATGACCAATTTAAAATGATCCCTAAGTGTTTTTATTTTTTTAAGAAAAAACCTCTTTGGTCTGCTCCTGAGTTTTTCTCTGGATGTTTCAGAGTAAAGTCGAGTCGTGGTCTCCTCTGCTCCTGCCGTTCGGGATGATCGTCTTCTCCGTGTCCGTCCTGGAGTTTTACGTGGAGTCCGTCTGCAGCGCCAAGATGGAGGCGCCGCGGTGCGCCCGCTACGGCGCCGCCGCCCTCTTCCTGAGCGCGCTGCTGCTGGCCAACTTCTGGACGCACCCGATCACCGACCAGCTCCGGCCCGTGAGCACGCCGCAGCAGGGCGGCACGGAGCACGTGCTCTCCGGCGGCGTGATCGTCAGCGCCGTCTTCTTCGTCATGTGTAAGGAGCCGGCGGCCACGAAACGTTTCGCTCGGCGGCCGCTCTTTAATCGACGCTCGTCTCTCCGCAGCGTCCAGCATCCTGGCGTCCCCGTCCAGGAGGGGACAGAAGGGCACGCTGGTGGGTTATTCTCCTGAAGGGACGCCTCTGTACAACTTCATGGGGGACGCCCTGCAGCACACGTCGCAGTCTCTGCCGCGCTTCATCAAAGACTCCCTCAAACAGATCCTGGAGGAGTACGACTCCCGGCAGATCTTCTACTTCCTGTGTCTCAACCTGGTACGTCCAAATAAAACTCCACAACCGGGGGTTAGCAACCAGATTTTATCACCTGAATCAACTCCTCCTTTCAAAATAAGAGCTTTTTAACAAATGCATGAATACTCCTTCAAATTCTAAACAATGCAACTTTTAACATATCCGTGCACGTTCTTTCACACACTGCTGTCTGGGTTATGTGGAGCTGCTGTCCATGTCCAGCATGTCCATTATGAGAGGCAGGGGACACTCAGACATGTCTCCGGTCCATCACAGGAACACGGAGACAAACAAGACAAGTTTATTCACTCAGGCTGAGGGACAACTTACGAGTTACTGATGAACCTGATGTCATGCTGTCCTCTCTGGGAGGACACTCACACATGCTGCTGCTATCAGCTGTTTCCTCTTCAGGGAGCGAGTCCTCCTCCTTCGTCTCTCACTGTCCTCCATCTGTCCTCTGTCGCTCCAACTCCCATGTCCTCTGTGTCCTCACTCCCACTACCTTCATGTCCTCTCTAACTGCATCCATATATCTCCTGTCTTTTTCCTGCAGCTGCATTTCTAACATCCTTCTATCAATATACCCACTGTCCCTCCTCTGGACATGTCTCAACCACTGTCCCTCCTCTGGATATGTCCAAACCACTTGTCCAGAGGAGGGACATGTCTGGACATGTCCAAAACACTGTCCCTCCTCTGGACATGTCCAAACCACTCGCTCCTCTGGACATGTCCAAACCACTGTCCCTCCTCTGGACATGTCCAAACCACTGTCCCTCCTCTGGACATGTCCAAACCACTGTCCCTCCTCTGGACATGTCCAAACCACTTGTCCAGAGGAGGGACAGTGTAAGTTTGGTTGTAAGACGTCGCACTCAGAGCTTGTGTTGGAGATGACTCTCAGCTACTACCAAACCAAATGTTAGCTCAGTATCTGTAAAACTGAGTTATTGTCATTTATGTGTTTGCTCATGTCCATTAGCTTTGGCGGCCATCTTGTATTGCATAGACTCCAGTAGTTATTCAGTTGTAGCTGAACATCCAGTGATTATTGCCTGAAAGTTTGGTTAAAATCCATCCAGTGGTTCATGAGATATTTTGCTAACAGACAAAAACATTCTCGCCTGCCTTTTTGTGGACCTCATTTGTTTTATATTTTCAGGCCTTCACGTTTGTGGAGCTGTTTTACGGCGTTTGGACCAACAGCCTGGGGCTCATCTCTGACGGCTTCCACATGCTCTTCGACTGCTCCGCTCTGGTCCTCGGCCTCTTCGCCGCCCTCATGACCCGCTGGAAGGCCACGCGGATCTTCTCCTTCGGGTAAAGTCCTTTCAGCAGAACCAGGGGTTCAGACTGAGGGAAGGGTTGTTTAAAGAGGCGGCTGTGTTGCTCTGCAGGTACGGTCGAGTCGAGATCCTCTCGGGGTTCATCAACGGCCTCTTCCTGATGGTCATCGCCTTCTTCGTGTTCATGGAATCGGTCACGCGGTTGTTGGACCCCCCCAACATAAACACAGACATGCTGACGGTGAGTTGGCTGAGTGCGACCCGTCACGGTCAAACCTGACACTGAATGTCGGGGGGGTGTTGGAGATCTGCTTTGTTCTTAAATCAAAGATAAAAAGACGGACGTAAACAAACGCCGTGTGAATCCAGCCGCTCCGGGTTTCATCTGGTTCTGGAAGAGCTCGGTCCGGCGCTGTTAAGTAAACACTGTCAGTTGTTAAACGTTTCCAGATGTTTCGCCTGCAGCGAACTCAGAGGAGTGAGGATCTGAAGGACAGGAAGTGCTTGGAGACTAAAGGATGGACCAGGAACAGGGGTCTGAACGAGTGGATTTGTTTGGGACTCGTGGTGGACGACAGGTTGGATGTATTGTGCGTTTGCCCGGCGTGTGGGGCATACAGATGTTGGAGTGACCCGATGGAACCAACAGGTAAACAAGGACCAGAACCAGCCATCCAGACAGGGATCAGACTCCTGACACCTGGTGTTCGTCGTCTTGACGACGGCATCAGCCGGACCACATGTTCCCCGTGGACTGATGACAAGACGGCGTCGTATCGTGGTCGGCAGTGGATCTCGGTTCTGCTTTACCGAGGACGACGTCAAGGGTGTCGGTATGGCAGCACCCTGAGGACGGGACCAGTCCTGCCATGTTGTGGAGAGGCACACCGGTGTGGGGAACCGTAGGTCTGGTGGTCCAGGAGACCCCGTCTGCACGTCCTACCCCTCCTGAGACAGAACCCTGATACAGCCCGTCCACAAACAACACGTGTCCATGTCCTGTTGGGATCCACTCATGGCCAGCCCGGTCCCCCCGATCGTTCCCCAACAAACCGTGAAGACGAGTTACATCAGCTCACCTCGGGTGTTTTTTTCCGGCTGCTCCTCCTTCAGGGTCACCGGAGAAGAACTCACACAAAGACTTGGTGATTGTTTTTACACCAGATGTTCTTCCCGACCAACCACAGCCTCTGGAGCAGAGAGCTGCATCTGGGGCGCCCGGGGGAGCAGATGGTGGGGTTAAGGGCCTTGCTCAAGGGCCCAGAGTGGGACAAGTGAGGGTGGAGGCAGGTGTGGGTGCTTCACCTGTCCCACCCACATTTTGATGTTCAGTCCGGGGGTCGAACCAGCACCTTTACGATCACAGGCTCGCCTTCTCTAACCTCTGCACCACCACTCCCCCCAGCTCACCTTGTGGTGGTATGCATCCTTTCAAAATAAAAGCGATGCTTTAAGATAAAAAGCATTAAGAACGAACAGGTCTCTCTTGTAAATGAGTCTACGAGGCTCAGTGGGAACTAACCTGCATAAATAAATAATAATAATAATAATTTTAGCAGCTCACCTCATAATTCTCAATGGTGCTTTTTTATCTTAAAGCATCGGTTTTATTTTGAAAGGAAGACCAAGTGGAAACTATGGCCAGGGGTGAGCGCAGTCTCCCCACCAGTAAAGCGATAGTTGAAACCAACACTTAAACCGTTTGTCGTCGTGTTGACACTTGTTGTGTTTACGTTAATGAATCCTGCGTGAGTTCGAGACGAAACACTTCCTGGTTCTGAGAAAAAAATTGACGCGAGTTTAACGGCCGGAAGGTGGATAATTAGAATAAACGCCACATTTGAAGAAAAGTTGAAAAATTACAGAGAAATTCAAAATGTCTGCCTTCCTGCTGACACCGTCCAGATGTGCTGCAGAGTCAGGAACATTCAGAACGACTCGTTTAATTTCAGTTTCATCGCTCCCGTCTGATTGGTGCAGAAACAGGAAGTGCTCGTCTCTGATAACGGTTTATTTCCTCCCAGCCCGTGTCTGTCGGAGGCTTGCTGGTCAACCTGGTGGGCATCTGCGCCTTCAGTCACGCTCACTCTCACGGCAGCAAAAGCTGCTCGTCGCACGACCACGGACACTCGCACCACGGACACTCGCACCACGGACACTCGCACGGCGAGCACAGCCACGGAGGTCACGGAGGTCACGGACACGCCCACAGCTCGGGGAGCAGAGGCATGAACGCCAACATGAGAGGTTTGTGAGATTTATTTATTAACCTTTATACTGGGATCACAGGCAGCGAGAACATGCTGACTCCACACCGAAAGACCCAGGTCCAACCCGGGAATTGAACCCAGGACCTTGTTGCTGTGAGGCAGCAGCGCTAACCGCTAATCCGTAAAAAACGAGAACAAACTGTGACGTCGTTCTGTTCCAGGTGTTTTCCTCCACGTTCTGGCCGACACGTTGGGCAGCGTCGGGGTGATCATCTCCACCGTCCTCATTCGTCAGTTCGGCTGGTTGATCGCCGACCCGATATGCTCGCTCTTCATCGCCACGCTCATTTTCCTCAGCGTCATCCCTCTGCTGAAGGACGCCTGTGAAGTCCTGCTCATACGAGCCCCACCGGAGCACGAGAAGAGCCTGAACGCTGCGCTGGAAAAGGTGAGTCACCTCCAAGGCTTTCTTTTCAACCAGCTTCCTGTTTGTTGGACTTTTACTAAAGATCTGAACAAAATGCAGCACCTGAGCTCACACTGACACACACCAGTTAACAGAAATACACCAAACTGGCTGTTTTTATTCACAAATATCAACTTTTCCCTTGCGTGCAGTTTGGATCAGCCCGTTGGTACTGATGTTTCTCTTTAGCCCAGTCCAGTGAGTCACGTTTTGGACTGACCCAGTTTGGAAAAAGCAGCTTTGTTGGAAAAATGAAATAACCCAAGCCAAGAGAATCATGTTGGAACGCCTCAGGCTCAGTAAATCCTGACGGTCCATTTCTCAGGGTTTAGTCGATTTCATTAAAGGCTAACGTTAAAATTTTGTTGTTTTATCTCTAGTCGTTTTTTTTATATTGAGGTTGAATATTGGAGCAGTTACTGTTCTGATGCTGCATTCAAGGACAACTGGAAACTTGAGCAGAAACACATTCACAGGAAAAGAGCCAGGAGTCGGATTTCTCAAATGTGAACGTTAACGGGTTTGTTTCTTTCAAGAGAAAGATAATTTTGTTTCAGTAACTCAAAAAATAAAACGGAAAGCCAAAATACAAGAGGGACGGCTTGGTTTAAAGTCTGGGTGTAGATTTTACAGGAAGAAAAAGCAGCGAAACTGAACTTTGAACAACCTTTGTTGACCGTTTGGAACCCCCATCTGTCTGTGGATCAAAAACATCTGGACACAGACCTTAGCATGTCAGAATGGACACTTCCACATCCTCCACTGTCATTCTGAATATCGGTGTTCCCCATGGCTGTGTTCTTAGCCCCCTCTTGTTAATGCTGTACACCCATGGTTGTGTTGCCATTAACAGCTCCAACACAGTTCTCAAATTTACTGGTGACATGACCGTCAAAGGGTTGATCAGCAACAACGATACAGAGAGGAGGTTCTGGCGATGGCAGCCTGGTGCAGCAATAACGACCTCAACACCAGGAAGACAAAAGAAACCATCAGTGACTTCCAGAAGCCGAGGTCTGCACTGCATTTAGGCCTCAGCATCGATGGGGACGAGGTGGAACAGGTCACAGACTTTAAGTTCTTTGGTCTGCACCTCTTGGAGGACCTGGACTGGATTGTAACGCCACTCACATTATCAGAAAAGCCCAGAATTGTGTCTTCTTCCTTGGCTCCCTGCTACCAAGCCTGGACAAGATCTGCTCAAACCTCTGAAAGGCCTCCAAGATCCTGAATCAATCTGCTGTTAAACTATTCAAAGTATATTTTTTAGATATTTTTTCTTGTTTCAGATTGAGAAGATTGACGGAGTTCTGTCGTACAGAGACCCACATTTCTGGAGGCATTCAGCCACGCTGGTGGCCGGGACCATCCACCTTCAGGTCATGTCTGACGTGGTGGAGCAGAGGATCGTTCAGCAGGTTGGTGCACACCTTCAGATCATGTATCTATAGTTAACTCGGCCCTACGCGATTCTGGTTTAGTTCCCCTGAGTCCATGCTCTTAAAGGGACAGTCAGTCAACTTGAAGTGATGTTCTGTCTAGTAGTCGTTAACAGATGGGACTTTATCTGTCATCATGGGGTATGGAGAAGGAGGCAAAAGTCTTCGTCCAGGCTTCGCTGGCAGATTGCTGCAGCCCGATGGAGAGGCTCCACAAAAACTTGGAACAGGAATTTCTCAAAATGTCCATTTGGTTAAACGTTAATGATAAAGACCCTCGAGGAGCTAGTTTCTAGTGGACAAAACTGAAAAATATTTTTCAGCAGGTCCATGTCTTTCTCCATACTCTGTCACAGCTGATAAGATACTAACTAGTAAGAATTATACAGAATATCCCTTTAAGTTGATTCATTGAGCTTCACTCAGTGCTGCAGTTATAAACAATATCTTACGAAGAAAGAGTTTAATTTGCATTGGAATGACAAGCTAATCAACAACTTCTGTCCCAAATAACCTTTGAATTAAACAATCTATACATTTTTATATAAACTTTTTATATTTTTGTCAACTTTGCTTGCTGCTGCTGTTTGGAACAGAAATATTTATGCGCCTCATGATTTAGAGGCATTTAGATTATCTTAAAACTTATTTATGTTTTCATGTCTGATAAAGAGGACATGATAAACGGTTGAAGTCCTGCTGACCAACAGTTAGCATAGATGCTAACGTAACATTGAAAGCCTTTAGAAAAGCTAACGGTTAGCATTGTGTTTATCACCGGCCATTAATACACAAATCAAACCTTTTGAAAGTCGATAAGACGTTGGCTGTTCACAGAACCACGCTTCAAAACCTCCGAACTCGTCTTTTAAGGTGTAACGAGTTATTTAAAACCATATTTTTTATAACTGAGCGTGATCCGAACGTGTCTGAACCTCCTCGCCTGCAGGTGACGGCCATTTTGAAAGACGCGGGGGTGAACAACCTGTCGGTCCAGGTGGAGAAGGAGGCGTATTTCCAGCACATGTCCGGACTCGGCACCGGATTCCACGAAGTTCTGGCCATGACCCAACAGATGGAGTCCATGAAATACCTGCACGACGGGACGCTTATCATGTAGCGAAGACGGACCAACTGTATTTTTCTTGGAACTGTACGCGTTTTTGTTGGAATAAATCTGAATATGTAAGTTTTATTTTCTTGGTTTGTTGGACCTAAATTGTTCAGTTGTCATCGTGAAGACAAAGAAAAGTGAATTTTAAGAATGTTTTCAGTTTATTTAAGCAACGAGCATTAATCTAATGCATATAAATGTGAAGGTAAAGAGTTTAACGCCCTCTGGTGCTGCGGCGCAGAGGAATGCTGACTCGGCTGATGTGCGTCACATGTTCTGTGTGACACGTCGACTTGTCTGTCGTGTGCAAAAACAATAACGGTGTGGAAGTGGGGGGGTTCATGCGTCCTACGCAGCGGTTTGTCTGCTCCCTCCCTCCGTCTATTCGATCTCGTTGGAGCTTCCCGCCGCGGCTCTGACCTCCGTCTCTGCAGAGGAAATGGAACAATCAGGAAGCCGCTCCAAACCCGGTGTTCTGTTCTGAAGGATCAGGAAACGGTTTACCTGGACAGGGTCCGCCCTCCAAGGTGATGTCATCAATGGCGATGTCGCTCCTCACCGAAGGACCACGGATCGCCTCAAACACGATCTGAGTTGGGAACATCAGGAAATGATCTTTTAAGAAGCTGAACTGTTCAAACTTCTCCCGTCCTCACCAACTGTGTGAATGTTAACAGCACGGGAAAAACTTTCATTGTTATGCTGATGATACACAGTTCTATTTGTCCATGAAACCTGATGAATCCAACCTGTTACTTTTTACTTTTACCTAAATATTAGCATTTTTCATGGTTTTAGCTACCTCTGGTTCTAAACTAGCGTTTTTATTTTGCTAGTGATTTGCTACTTTTAGCTAAATATTAGTGTTTCCTTGCTGTTTGCACTTTTATTTTTCTGCAGTTTGCTAGCCTTTGGCTTTTTTGTTTGTTTATCATGTTTCTGATTTGTGCTAGTATTTCACTACTTCTGGCAGATGACTAACCTTTTCACTGATCTTTGCTAACGTTTTAGTACTTTTTGCCTTTTAGCTAGCAGGTTTTCCTTTCTGCTGGTAACTTCCCTAATCTTACTTTTTCCTACCAATTTGCTACTAGTGGCACTTTTTGCTGCTTTCATAAATTTTGCTAAATTTTGCTACTTGTTCGACAAAGAGGAGATGCATGGATGCAGTTAGAGAGGACATGGAGGTAGCTGAAGTGAGGACAGAGAGAGCTGGAGGAGGATGATGACCCCCGAAGAGGGAAAAGCCGAAAGAAGAAGCCCTTTTACCTAGCATTCTTTAGCTTTCTGCATGCATTTTGCATCTTCAGGTATTTAGCGAACTCCTTTCAGCTGCTCTCTTCTTCAGGGGTTGCCACAGCAAACTAACTCGCATGAACACTTGACGGTTGTTTTCATGTCAGATGCAACCACAGACACTAAGCTACCACAGCCCTCTGTGTGGAGCAGGGAGCTGCCAACGAGGGCGCCCAGGGGAGCAGATGGTGGGGGTTAAGGGCCCAGAGTGGGGCAGGTGTGGGTTTTTCAACTTTCCCACTCACATTTTCATGTTTTCAGTCCAGGGAGTTGAACCGGCAACCTGATCACAGGCCCACCTTCTCTAACCTTTGTGCCACCACTTCCCCTACCATGTCAGGCTTTAGCAAACATTTTGCTACTATAAATTTATGGCTAGCCTTTGGCTGCATTCAGCTTAAAGCTAACAATTAGCTATATTTAGCTTTCACTTCAGTTTCAGCTTTAACTTTTTTTTTTTTTTAGAAATTAAACTTTTCACAGTTAAATCTTTTACTATACAAATTAAACCAGCGTTTGCTGTTTAGATATTAAATTATTTTCAGCTCTTTTTCTGGAGTTAAAAGCACCAAAAGCGTTTTCACAGGAAATTCACATTTGTCTAGTTCAGATCTTTTAAACTGGTCCTGACCAACAGTTTTTGAAGACTTTAGTTGTTTTTTTCCACTCAAGAATTCAGATCCTTCATTAAGGAGCCTTTTTACAACAGTTTTTGTGTTTAAAAAAAAAAAAAAACGAAAATCTGACAATTTTAACAAAATAAAATGTAATTGGTTCATATTAATGACCTCATTCGTGCAAAAATTAAATTAATCAAATTATTGTGAGGAAACTTTAAAAAAAATAAATAAATGTGGTCGATCACATTTGACTGAACAGAAAATTCAGACCTTCATAAAGTTTGAAGAACCAATGTTCAAAAGTACTTAACCCTCCTGCTGCCCTTGGGTCAAATGATCCAGGAGGACTTAACATTTTTGACCCCAGGGCAGCAGGAGGGTTAAAAAACTACAATCATGTCTGGCTGCTTGGAAGGAAAAGAGGATTGGCTGAAAGTTTTGCTCGTTCCTCGTTAAAATAAAAACCTCAAACAGAACCAAAACAAACAGGAGTATTTATTGGACCCTTGCCTGGTGCCGAGCGTCGCTCCGGTACTCCACCTGGGCCCGCAGCCAGGCCACGCTCTGCTCGCCGCTCCGTTGCCACAGCAACACACTCTCTCCGTTCTTGTCGGCCAGAACCCTCAGCGTCCCCGTCCCCGATCCGTACATGTGGTAGTAGAACCGCAGGCACTGGGGGCCCCTGGTTCCCCTGACGGGTCGGGACAGCAGCCGGGCGTTCTGACCCGGCAGCATGGGCGAGGCCTCCACGTACAGGAAGTACCCTGCCCAACGCAGCGGTCGGTTACTGAGCTCTCAGAGGAAAACCTAACGGGCTTTAGTTCCTCACCTAGACCCGTGGTGTGGTCCCCCCTGGGCCCGGTGTAGGAGGTCGGCGTGGGTCCCCTCCTCCGGTGCCAGTCGCCAACGTCGGCCTGTTTGTCCTGGCTGAACCCGCAGAACCCGACCTCGAAGTCACAGTGTCCAGGGAGAGGCGACGACAACAAACCTGCAACCCAAAGACGTTTCATTTTCTCATCCGAGGTCCAAACAGAACCATCACCACAGAGACGAACACCAAACGGAACCAGGACCCGGACAACAGACCCGTTACCTGCTGTCAGCTCGCAGTCCCCAAGGTTCAGGCTGATGTCGTCCAGCGCCACGGAGCCGCAGTCCCAGAAAGTCCTGCAGGTGCTGACGAAAACCACCTGAGGGACCAACGGACCGTCAGCAAGTTCTGGTTCAGGACCAGTAAATGATCGACTTCACTCAGGCTGCGGTTCTGACGTTAAAGCTTTTGAACTTCTTGTGAGAATGAAAAGCTTTGAGTCTTTAGGCCAGATGAGTTCAGAGTCTGCGGTTTGTTTGGTTGATCCACAGAGTTTTGTTGGTTTTAATTCGTTTATTTTTTTGTCTCTGATGCTTTAATTTATCTCTTTAATCAGAAGTTTATTTTTCTTTCGTCATTCTTTTATTGTTTGTTGCTTTTTCTTCACCGTTTTCTCCTCGACTGTTCCTCTGCAGCCACGTGGAAAAACTAAATCTGAAGTTTTGTTTTAGGATCAAAAAATAAATAAAAATCTTGAAGAGGCTCGTAAGCACGGACCAGTGGAATGCACCACTAATCTGTACTGGTACTCAATGCACCACTAATCTGTACTGGTACTTCCAAGGTCCAATTGGTCAGACTCGAGGCTGACGGAAAAAGAGTCTGCCTGAATAAATCAACAATGGTGTTGCTCTGAATCTCCCCAGCTGGTCTTGGAACAGGCCGACATCAATTTCTCCTGGGAAATGTGTAACCGAAGGAAAAGCTTCGTCTATGGGAACCCCCCTCCCTCTCCCCCCCTTCTGTGGAGTCTTATTAGAACTGTGCTGGCTGACCACCATCAGGACAATGGACTATCAGGCTTCATGACTGCCTCTTTTGTAAACTCACATGTACGTGTTCATTTAGCTGGCAGAGTTTTTTGATGTCTTAAATCTTCAGTCAGGTAGACAGCTGCCTTCAGATCAGAGGTTTGAGGGTTCAAATCCTACCACAAAACCATTGTTTTAAGTTAAAACGGCCAAACTGAAAAGATAAATGTGCTACGAGAAATACTGTGAATGTGGAAAGTGCTGGTGGATCAGTCTGGTAGATGGCTACTTTCAGATCTGAAGTTTGTGGGTTCAAATCTTACCACTGCACCATTTTTAAGTCAAAATGGTAAAACTGAAAAGATAAATGTGCCAGGAGAAATGTTCTGAATGTGGAAGGTGCTGGTGGATCAGTCTGGTAGATGGTTGCCTTTAGATCTTAAGTTTGTGGGTTCAAATCTTACCACTGCACCATTTTTAAGTCAAAACTGTAAAACTGAAAGATAAATGCGCCAGGAGAAATGTTCTGAGTGTGGAAGGTGCTGGTGGATCAGTCAGGTAGACAGTTGCCTTCAGATCAGAGGTTTGTAAGTTCAAATCTTACCACAAAACCATTTTTTAAGTCAAAACGGTAAAAGTGAAAGATAAATGCGCCCGGAGAAATGTTCTGAGTGTGAAAGGTGCTGGTGGTGTGGTGGGTCTGTTCACGTTCGTAAGGCAGCAAGTTGCGCAGTAGCTGGTTCGAGTCCTGCCTGCTCCCAGTACCTGGATCATCAAAACCGATCCCAGTGGAATGGGTAGGGGAGGGGGCCGTGTCCCCTCCCTGAAAATATCTGCTCTGAAAATGGAGGGTTATGGAACTTTAAAACACATTTTAAAGGTGTTTCATTTAGTTTTATGTTGCATCTAGATATATGCCACTCTTCCCTATGTACTATTTGTAAGTACATACTTGCAGTGCACACAGCTTAGAGGACCATTGGGTGTAGCCTATGTAATTTGGGGGGGGGGGGGTCGGTGGCCTCCTGACCCACCTTGTTCCAGCGCCGCCGCCAATGGCCTAGCATAAAGCAATATCTAAAAAACGTCTGGTCCTCTGGATGTTCAAAAAAACAACAAAAATATAGAAACGTTTCGTCTCTCATCCGAAGGACTTCCTCAGTCTGAGGAGCTGTATCAGTCTCTTAAATAGCACCTTCTCAGAGTGGATCAACCAGTTTGCT